AAAAAAAAAAAAACTTTTGAAAATTCTAAGAATTATGTTAAAGACCAAGTATTGATGATTGAACACCAAGCCCCTGATTTATTCAAATTCTATGGAAGCTTACTCCAGAGAGACTGAAAATATCCCAATATTTCATTTAATTAGTAGACTGTAATAAATGCTTATATATGAGTTAGGCTTTATTAAGCATTTCTTGTGTGGGAGGGACCACAGAGGCCAACCCCTTTACATGTCTTCACTCTCAGTCCTCGTTCTAATCTTATGAGGTAGATACTAATATTAACCCCATTTTGAAGATGATGACGCTAAGGCACATAGGCCACCCAATTAGTAAGTGGTCAAGCCAGGCTTCAACTTTGCATTCATAGAATCAATGATAATTACTTAAGGGCTAGACCAAGGGGCTCTGGTGGTGTAGTGGTTAAGGTATTTGGCTACTAACCAGAAAGTCAGTGGTTTGAACCCACTAGCTGCTCCATGGCAGAAAGATGGGGCAGTCTGTTTCTGTAGAGATTTACAGCTTTGGAAACCCAATGAAGGTCGCTATGAGTAGGAATTGACTCAATGACAGTGAATTTGGTTTTGGTTTTAAGAGCTAGACCAGAGGTGCCCCTTTAACCTAAGATGCCTTCAGACCCTTACAGCTGGCTCTTTTCAGACTAGATTTAGGGCTAAATCTCTTCATGTACTTTTTTGTTTCAAGTCGTGTGATGGGAACAGTCCTGGAGGTGGGATCCTGGAGCTGAATCCAGTGAAGGGTGGCCCCAGTGCCAGAGTCTCAGGCCTCTACCCGCTCTGTAGCTTGAGGGGCAAAGATGCTCAGTTGGGCTCTTCTGGAAAAAGTCTTTCCAGATGGCCTGTGTGCCTTCTCCCTATTAGGGTGAGATTCCTTGGCCTGCTCCAAGAAGGGTTTGCTGAACTGACACCCAAGTTCCCAGCATTTTATATGTGGCTTGGATCATTTGCAGCCTGGGTAAACACCCTGTCTTCCAGTCTACAGGGTAAGAAGTTTTTAAGACATTTGTGATTTATGCCAGCCATACCCTATAAACTAGGAGCTCTGGTAGTATAGTGGTTAAAGCATTTGACTGTTAACTAGAAGGTTGACGATTTGAACCCATGCACTATTCTATGGAAGAAAGATGAGGCAGTCTCCTTCTGTAAGGATTTACAGCACTGGAAACCATATGGTGCAGTTCTACTCTGTCATTTAGAGTCACTGTTAATCAGAATCAGTTCTACTCTGTCATAAAACCAAAAAACGAACTCACTGCCGTGGGGTTGGATCCAACTCATAGCAACCCCTCCTTGGGTTTCCAAGGCAGTATCACTACGGAAGTAGATTGCCCAACCTTCCTTCTAAGGAGTGGCTAGTGGGTTTGAACTGCCAGCCTTTTGGTTAGCAGTCAAATGCCTTAGGCACTACACCACCAGAGCTCCCACTCTGTCATAAAAGGTCACTGTTAATCAGAGTCAACTCGAAGGCAATGTGTTTGTTACTCTGTAAACACTGGAAATATTCCCAAATCACACTATTAGTAATTTTGGGGCACTCCAGTTCGAGATACCTTCTGTACAACTTCAGAAATATTTTAAGAAAACAGTTTGCAGGTGAAGATTCGTGATAGAGTGATTTTGTGCTTTCTGAAAAATTAGAAGTAAAGGGAGGAAGTATGGCAATTGTGGCATGGGTGACTTGGTTTTTTTTGCCTGTGAAAGTGAGCTCTTACCCACTGAGGCAGAGTGTGTTTGAATAGCTTCCCAGTGCCCAAAAGGTGATTGAATGGGAACTATCTTGATTGGAAGGAGGATGGGATTAACTGCATGGTTAAGAGTTAGCGCTCTGCCACCCACCCTGCCTGGACCTGCATTCTGGCTCTGCCATGAACTCTCTGGGCAGTTAAGTTCCTTAACTCTCCTGGGTCTCAATTTCTCTATTTGTAAAATAGGAATAATGAAAGCAGCTCACATCACTTACTTAATGAATGACTCTTGTACACTTAGTATGTGCCACACTCTTAGTAACCCCAACATTGAAAAAGACAAAACAACACAGAGAAAATCCCTTGACTTGAAAGGTCTTGAGGAGGGAGCAGTGTGCTGTGTTCAGGGAACAGCCAGGTGGTGAATGACTGGATGGAGTTGGGGAGCAGGAGAGTGGCTGCTATAGCACTGGGCCTAAATTTTACTCCGGGCATGACAGGAAAACCCTGAAGGGTTCTGGGCAGGGGAGTGTTGTGATCTGACTGTGTCTGAACAGAATCCTGGCTTCTGTGTTGAAGACAGACTTGGGGGCAAGGGTGGGAGCAGGGGGACCTTTTTAGGAGACTGTGGAGATCCCTTAGTAGAGCAAACATTTAATGTATTCAGCTGTTAACCAAGAGGTTGGAGGTTCGAGTCTATCAAGAGGTACCATGGAAAAAGGCCTGGAGATCTACTTCTGAAAACTCAGCCACCAAAAATCCTCTGGAGTATGGTTGTACTCTTATACACAAGGGGTCGCCATGAGTTGAAATCAACTCAATGGTAGCTGGGTTATTTTATTTTAATTGCAATAATCAAGGTAGGCGGTACTAGATGTTTGGACCAGGGCAGCAGTAAAGGGGCTGAGGAGGGGTTATCTTTTGAAGTTACAGTCGACAGGGTTTGAGGATGGATTGCTTGTGCCTGTGTGAGAGGGGGAGAAATCAAGACTGACCCCACATCTTGAAGAAAGGAGGTGGTCCTTAGTGAAGGAGGGCAGGCTTGGCAGGGAAATCAGAGTTCAGTTTGTATATGTTTGTTGTTGTTGTTGTTGTTATGTGCCGTCGAGTCAAACCCGACTCATAGCGACCCCTCCTTGGGTTTCCGAGGCAGCATCACTACGAAAGTAGGAT